TAGTCACAGTACAACATAAAATTATTTTATTTTCTACTCTTATTTTATTGTACCTTACCTAGTCACGGTCAACATAAAATATTTATTTTCTACTCTATTTTATTGTACCTTACCTAGTCACGGTCAACATAAAAATATTTATTTCTCTACTACTTACGGAGCTTGCCTGTATGACGTGTTCAAAACTAAAAATATTCTGGGGGTAAAGAGTATCAGGCTAAGGCAAGGCCCCCTGGTTGGATATGTTCCGGGGATCGAGATCATCAGTTCATGGTAAATTCAAAATTATTCTGTGTAGATTTTTGTAACATTATGACTTGATGTGATACACATAAGTTCGTGTGTTAGAAAACTATAGATTCACCTTGTTAATGTTACTTAAATGTTGACTGAGTAAAATATCATAACAACATATTATTGGATCAAAAACAGACAAGTAAGAATAACGGATTTATCGATGTGATGTGAAAACAAACAGACACGTTGTAAAAATGCAACCCTGTAAAAATTGGGATGTAAAAGTGCGTAAGTTAAACAAGAAAAACAATGTTAAACTTGACCCCATTTTTTTATTGAAAGTGGAACAAGCATCAACATGAATATATCAAAAAGGCCTAGTTCCCGAATTTTTTATTGTTTAACTTACCTACAATAGGATTATATCTTTAAGGGGGTTTGTCCTTATATATAACTTGGTTCTTTTTTCCCATATCAAATTTTCATACGGCTGACTCTTTATTATAACTTTTTGATTTGATTATTATTTTAAAAGTGATTTAAAATAGGATTCCATCCGAAGTAGATTTCAAACCATATCCACCAGGGGAAGCTATAAACATAGAAACAGCTTCATAAACATTTATTTTAAGTTTTCCTTATATTCCTAGGCCTTAGGTTACCAGTTTAATGAAGTGGATGTGGAGAGCAATTGAACATTAAAGTTAACAAAAAAAGATCATAGAAAGTAGTGGTAATGAATATGTGATCCAGTTGTCAAACCCTAGTCCAGGATATGTGATCCAGTTGTTAAACCCTAGTCCAGGATATGTGATCCAGCTGTTAAACCCTAGTCCAAAATATGTGATACAGTTGTCAAACCCTAGTCCAGGATATGTGATCCAGTTGTTAAATCCTAGTCCAGGATATGTGATCCAGTTGTTAAACCCTAGTCCAGGATATGTGATCCAGTTGTCAAACCCTAGTCCAAAATATGTGATACAGTTGTCAAACCGTAGTCCAGGATATGTGATACAGTTGTCAAACCGTAGTCCAGGATATGTGATCCAGTTGTCAAACCATAGTCCAGGATATGTGATACAGTTGTCAAACTCTAGTCCAGGATATGCGATACAGTTGTCAAACCCTAGTCCAGGATTGTGATACAGTTGTCAAAGTCTAGTTTAGGTTAATAGGCACCAGTATAATTTTATTTCGTACCAGTCATCATTATTTTACTCTATGCTTTCCTTCTTCAACAAGGGGAATATAAACAATAGTCCCCTACCACCCTTTTTTACTGATTATTTCTCTTAATGTAAAACAGATATGAATTTGTTGTTTTCAATATGCAATTAGAGTGTTTACACGTGTTCAAAAGCATAAGAATAGTGACATTTCAGCCTTTGGAACAGCTGTGTCAATTCACCATGTTTGGTCAAAAGTTCGGTACTGTATATAGGATCCCAGCACAGTTATTTCTATCGAAGTGGTGTATTTAAGTGTTTTACACTCACAAAAAAGAAGCTTATCATTCTATAGTTATTTGAAGAACTTGTATCATTTCGCCACAATTTAATTATTCGTATTGTTAGTAGCTTGTACATAATTGAATAAATAGAGTTGTTTAAACATTTGTTTAAC